CTCATGACCCTTAAGTGTCAACTTTGGTCAAAGTCAAAGTCAACACTCTAGTCGAAGTCAACCTTCCAGGTTGATTTAACTCGCCAAGTTCCATAATCCATAAAACACTGGAAATCGCGATTCGACTCGTCAAGTTCTTTCATGAACTCGTCGAGTTCCTTCTTATAACAAAGTCATAACTTTTCAACACAACTCGTCGAGTTCCTTATTGAACTCGTCGGGTTCTTCAATCATCAAAACCCAAAAACCATGGCCAACTCACCGAGTCATCTCTTAGAGTCGCCGAGTTTGCTCAGTAAAAAAAAAGGTCGGGGGACCACGATCCAACTTGCCGAGTTGGATGAAAAACTCGTCGAGTTCTCTTAGTCTAAATCCATTCATTCACTTCCAGTCGAGTTTAATGCTTCCAAAGCATATATCGGGTCCCATAGGGCTGATATACCACGTAAAGTTTTTAACTTTACTTGCATGCATGGACTACTTGGCTCAAAAGGCCAAAAGGATGGTCCATAAGTTGCATGCGACCTTCATGGCCCTAAAGTTGGTACCTTTATGCCATGAAGTTCCCTAAAGACCCTAGATCTGAAGGGTTTTCCCACATTGGACGTCCAAGTCCCAAAGACTAACATCCTTGGACCAAAACATGGAGAAACCACTTTAAAACTAGATATAAAAATTGAATAGACAATATAGGGCTTTATACCTCAAATGAACCTGAAATGGAGCTCAACTTCTGGATATACTTTTCTCCTTCACGTCATTGCTCCCTTTTCAAGAACCGTCTTCTTCAAATTCACAAAGAATGCACAACAATGGCTCAAAATACTCAAAAGTGGACTAGGGTTTCGTGGCTAGGGTTTGGGATGATGGAGGCTGTAAACGAGGTCAGCCTTTGGAGGTTAAGGTGTTTAAATAGGGTGTTAAACCTTGAATTAGGGTTTTATTATGACAGCCCTACTCGTCGAGTTGAGTCCCTCAACTCGTTGAGTAAACTCTAAGTTTCGCGTCCAAATTCCATTCCTACTTGATGAGTTTGCGGCCTCTAACTCGTCGAGTTCCTGTACAAAAATTAATAAATCTGATTTAAAATACATAGCAGGTATCGAGCGTTACAAAAGGTAGTATTAGGCCCGTACTACTAGAAGCACATGATCCATACTCGAATCGGGAAAAAATTCGGGGATTCTAAGGAGCTGGTATGGAAATGGTTCCACATCTGTCGATATTTTGGTTATGGTTGTTTAAGCATGAGGATGGGTCTGGTAATTGTTTCGGGCCTCATGGGCGATGTTAATTGGGTTTGATTGGTACAGACCTAGGTGAGTTTGTTGGTTTTAAGGTCTCTAGGGCCTTGCTCGAGGCCGTACATTTGAGCTGCAGGACTCAAGAAAGAAATGATTGTTATGATAGGCTTGAGGATTACAGCTAAAAGTTTAATGGTTAACAAATGGATTGGAATGTCGCTATATATGGCGAGGATTATGTCCTAATAGTTTTCCAAGAAGGAGTGGGCATGCTTATGACTTTCAAGTTAGGATGTAAACCCAACAGTGGGCTTGTTGGTTGTGATGTTTGGCGGCAATATGACAACGTGAGAATGCGTAAAAGGGTTGATATGGTATGGATGCATAGTGATGCGATCAAGTGTCTGATTTCCTTGGATATAGGTAGGTCAGGTACCGGACTGACGGTTGGGATTACAGGTAAGGAATGTATGTTTTGGATAATAGGTCGGTGTTTTGCTTATGCATTTGCATGGAATCCTTAATGTTAAAGGCGATTATGATTGGAAAAAATTTTCTAAGGACTTCATCTGATATTTAGAATATCTTAGGGTTTGCTTGATCCTTATATGGAAGATCATCTTGCGTGTGTTATACCTTCAAAGAGTCAGGGATGGTTATGATTGGATTTTTTTTGTAAGAATTAATGTTTAAGCACAAATTGTATGGATAATGGAATAATAAAAAAATTATATAAGCATGTGCATGCTGTTGGATTAATGTCTAAGTCCATAACTATAATTGGTAAGACTTGACCCGACCCGGCATGGTCCATTTGGGTTGCATGGCATCATGCACTTGGATAGACTAAAATGAGAGAAATAACACTTAAGGTTTGTTAATATATTATAAGTTCTAATATATTAATAAGGTTATTTAATTAGTATTGATCAAGAATTAATTTGGAATTAATTAAGTGATCAAAAGAAGACTAATTAAATATATGGGTTGATTGTGTAAATCATTCATTCTTATATATGTGGGCTTGTGATCCAAGATTCCTTATGTTGGACTAAGTCCATGGGGTGACCCATGGATACTCCATGGAGGTTAAAATCCATGGACCATAAGGAATGGGTAAAGTCATGAGTTACATGGTGTAACCCTAATAGCCACCATATAAAAGAAACCCATGGCTAAAAGAAATCGACAATGTGTGTGTATGAGGGCTAGACGATTTCATGAAGTGTTCTAATTTCTCTCTAAGTTATTCCAAGTGCTTATGGTGTTGTGTGAACCATTTGAGGTGTCACACTTGGGGCACTAGGCACTCAAGCTTCATGAAGACAAGCACTATCTAAGAGGTATGTATTCTATCTTGTTATATCTATTATTTTGTATGCTAGATTAGGATAATACCTTGGATGTTCGTATTTGCATGTATAATAGAGAAAACATAGATCCAAGGTATTTAGGGTTGCATGTACACTTAGGAGTGTTAGAATGGATTTTATCACGAGTGATAATTCTGGAAGGACCATATTGACATAATCTGTAAGGAGGCAACTCTTGTTCAGAAGTGATAGTCGAAATGGAATTTGGAAATGTTTCAAAGTTAGAATTTTCAATCTGTGTAAGATTAAGGAAACTTAATGCAAGAAGGATGGTTCCAAGGACTTGATCTCCTTTGGAATGCTCTGTAATGATTGTTGTTAAGTCTCTCTGACTTTGTGCATAATCATTACAAGAGGATCGATGCATATAAGTTTAGAATCTAACAGATTTCAGTAAATGACATGAATTCGGAATTCTTGCATTTGCAGTAAGGATTTGGGAGTGTGAAAAGAGAATCATTGAAGTTATGTTCAATTGATCTAGTTCACAAAGTAAAGATCATAGACAAACATAGTGTGCATACTTGGTGTATGGCATGACTAGTGTTTAGAAAACATAGTGTACATGCTTGGAGCATGGGACAACTATTGTTTTAAATTCAAGAATAAAGTTGATAGCTGAAACAGTATACAATGAATAATGTGTAATCATATGGTGATAAATAAAAGTGTTTTATTTATATTCATAAGTTCTGAGACCATATTGGATTCAATTATTATTGTGTTTCACTTTGCATGTTTTGACTTCCCGAATAAACTAGGTTATTCTTCCGGAATGACTAAGTTATTCAAACCATCCACAGTCGGTCATATGTTGGAAGTAGATATGAATTAAGACTGTCATGGGTTGGCTTGTAGAGGTCTAAGTGTTGGACAAAGGCTACAACACTCATGAGTGCTCATAAGTTCTGAGTATTGGATTCAACCCGCGCTCATTGGAATCACTTCATGGATTTTATCACGAGTGATCATGAGACGATAATATCTTATATTCTTCAAACCTAGAGATATGAGTTGTTACTATGAGTTGGTTGTACATTGATTGCACGAAACGCATTGGTAACTCGATGCTATAAAACGTGTCTTTGTGTATGATTCAACAAGTAGTAGAACAAGCCATATGAGTCGAAGTTTATCCATTCCTTTTACCTTCGGGATAAAAGCGATATCTGTGGGCCCCTCGATGATTTGATGATGACAAATGGAAGTGCTCGGCCGGGCCAGGACTGATTTGATTTGTTCAATTAGTCAGTCGTCATAAATCGGAAATCGGGAAACAACAAATGGACAGAGAGAATGATTATAATCCATGTCTCAGTCCATATGATATCTAGAATGGAGGAATATATGATCCCTTATCTAATGGACAAGTCATTGACAAGATCAGAGTTCATCTACAAGGTCAGAGTTCGACAGAAGCTTTTGAGAGCTACGATTGCCAGTTGGTTCCTGAAGTCATACGCAATAATAGTTTTAGACTTATCCAAGTGGGAGACTGTTGGATTAATGTCTAAGTCCATAACTATAATTGGTAAGACTTGACCCGACCCGGCATGGTCCATTTGGGTTGCATGGCATCATGCACTTGGATAGACTAAAATGAGAGAAATAACACTTAAGGTTTGTTAATATATTATAAGTTCTAATATATTAATAAGGTTATTTAATTAGTATTGATCAAGAATTAATTTGGAATTAATTAAGTGATCAAAAGAAGACTAATTAAATATATGGGTTGATTGTGTAAATCATTCATTCTTATATATGTGGGCTTGTGATCCAAGATTCCTTATGTTGGACTAAGTCCATGGGGTGACCCATGGATACTCCATGGAGGTTAAAATCCATGGACCATAAGGAATGGGTAAAGTCATGAGTTACATGGTGTAACCCTAATAGCCACCATATAAAAGAAACCCATGGCTAAAAAGAAATCGACAATGTGTGTGTATGAGGGCTAGACGATTTCATGAAGTGTTCTAATTTCTCTCTAAGTTATTCCAAGTGCTTATGGTGTTGTGTGAACCATTTGAGGTGTCACACTTGGGGCACTAGGCACTCAAGCTTCATGAAGACAAGCACTATCTAAGAGGTATGTATTCTATCTTGTTATATCCATTATTTTGTATGCTAGATTAGGATAATACCTTGGATGTTCATATTTGCATGTATAATAGAGAAAACATAGATCCAAGGTATTTAGGGTTGCATGTACACTTAGGAGTGTTAGAATGCTCAAACCCAACACATGCTTGTATACAATAGTCTCTCTCTAAACTACTCATTTATACACAATGAGAAATCTCTCAACCTATAAAGAATACCAAACTAATATAGTAGTATTTATAGACAAGTTCAACCATAAAGCCTTCAAATGAGAAGTCTTCCACCTTCTCAAAGACCTTCGATACCGAATAAGGAAAAACCTTCTAAATCAACATTTCATAGAGAATTTTGCACCCCAACAATAATAAAACAAATTATAAAAAGAATAACAATAGACAAAAACCGATTTAAAAACAATATGGATGTGATATATCAATTTCTTTTTAAAATTGAATTGAAGTTGCAAATTTGTACAAACCATACCGACCATTGCTTTAATTTACTCTTGATAAAATTTAAAAAAACATAAATACTAGTATTATACAAATATGTAACTTTCGTTGATAAAAATAAAATAAATTTAACAATAATATTACGTGGGCAAAACATACGTATCCACAAATTCGTGACCCTCAACGGGCGAAGATAGGCTGCCGCCGTTCGAGCCCATCGTTTACATACCCCGTTTTTTTCTTTTCAATTTCCATTTAATGCAGATACAGAAGAAGACGGGGGTCGGAGAGCGGGAGAGAGCTCAGGGAGCCACAGGAAGGGGGGAAATCATGGCAATTCTCGCTATAAATCATGCCGGTAACACCCACTCTCCTCCTACGGCGGATCCCTTTTAGTCTCCGGCGACGTTAAATCGGAGGAGTAACCAATTTATAATATTAATATACACACGCATCGAGGGCCAGAATGGGGATGTCGTGGGAAGACGTGGTATTGATTGAGGAAAGTAAGAATTCCGGCCACCCAACCGTAGTGACGGTGAACTGCCCGGACAAGGCCGGACTCGGATGCGACCTGTTAAGAATTGTCCTCGAATTCGGACTGTATGTTACCCGTGGAGGTCAGCAATATCTCTTCGATAAGTTCATCGATTCTATTCTAGTATTCTACTGCTATTTTCGTCTTTAGGTGTTAAGATCTAGGTTCCTATTCAAATTCAATGCTAAATTTCACATCTACATATGAATCTTATAAACTAAATCCATAATTATTACGGATCGTACAAAATTAGGTGAAAGAGATAAATATGCAATTACATAAATACACTTGATGTCGATGATGAATGTTTCATTTGCTTTCTGCCACTAGATTTCTCTACCGATGGAAAATGGTGTTACGTAATTTTGTGGGTTGTCCCACGCCCAATCTCACTAAAAATCGATTGGGAGAGCTTGAAGAAACGTCTCGTATCTTGTTGTCCATCGTTTTTACCTGCATTTTACATCGATCAGTTCTCCGGTAGCTCAAAATCACCTCCACTCTACCTGTTGAAGGTTTTCTCGTTGGATCGAAAAGGGTTAATACACGGTTAGTACTTCAAATTTCAATCTATTTTCTCCCTGCTTGAATCTTCACCATCTTCTCATCCAAATTATAATCACTGTAGATGTCACAAAACTCCTATGCGAGCTTGAACTAACAATTCAACGATTAAAAGTGATGACAACACCAGATGGAAAAGTTGTGGATCTCTTTTTCATCACAGACAGCGTGTAAGTCCTTTTCTTCTTTTTGATTACAGTATACACTCATCGATATACCAAACTACTAATTTGTAATGATTCTCAATAGGAACTTATTGCACACAAAATTTGGACGTGAAGAAACATGTGAACACCTTAGTGTTGTGTTAGGAGAGTGTTGCATTAGCTGTGAACTTGAATTAGCGGGACCCGAATATGAATGTCAACAAGGGCTTTCCTCTATTCCTGAAACAATTGCAGAAAAATTATTCAGCTGTGAGTTTTCATCCATGGAAGATGGTTCACAAGCAATTATCTCTGATACATCAAGAATCAAGAAAGCTAGTGTAGTGATTGATAATTTATTGAGCCCAGTGCATTCCTTGCTTCAAATCCAATGCCATGATCAAAAAGGCCTCATCTATGACATTTTAAGAATTTCCAAAGATTGTGGTATCCAGGTATTGCTTTAATTTTACTAATCCATCATTTTTTATTCCATTCCAATTTTCCATAATAACTTTAAGTTCATATTCAGATTGCATATGGAAGAGTCTCTCCTAGTGTTAATGGAAACCGAAGTTTGGATTTATTTATCCAAAATGAAAATGGGAAAAAGATTGTTGATCATGAAAACCAAGTGGCTTTATGTTCCCGTTTAAAGGAGGAGATGTTACATCCATTAAGAGTCATCATCACCAACCGGGGCCCGGATACACAGCTTTTGGTTGCTAATCCCGTTGAGATATCCGGGAAGGGAAGACCTCGTGTTGTATATGATGTCACTTTGGCATTAAAAACACTCGATATATGCATCTTCTCAGTAAGTAGTTTCAAATCTCATTTCCACCACAAAAAGAAACCTTAATGATTTATGATTGAGTCAATGTCTGAATGTCGGACCGAGTCAGACCTAGCCTCTTATCAGAGTCAGTTAGAGGTGTATCACAGTCTGAATATAACCGAGTCAGAGTCAGAGTCATACTAGACCCAGTAAGAGGCATATCAAACAACCCCTGAAATATAGCTTATGAGATTAAATATGCTTTTGCATTGTTGTGTGTAGGCTGAGATTGGAAGACATTCGACATTAGATCGCGAGTGGGAAGTGTACAAATTCCTGTTGGATGAGAATCAAGGATTTTCTCTAACAAGCAAACAAGCCAAACAAAATATTGTTGATAAAGTTAGAAGAACCCTCATGGGATGGTAAAAATTAATTGTGTTTTGTTTTTTAAATCAAGAACATTGTGGTAGCATGTTTACTAATTTTAGTGTTTTTTTTTTGGTATTTAATTATTTATGTAAACAGTTGGTAGCAATAATAAGTATTTATGTTCTTGGAAGTATCAAGAACATTGTGTTGGTTCCATTTCAATGTATCAGATTTAGCTTTCTCGGTTTTGTACTTATCAAAATTCTATAGTTTTAAGTGGGATTTAGTTATGACTTGAAAATAAATGAAATTGAAAAATAAATTATCAGTTTATCACAATATGAAAAGGAAAGGAACACGTTCTTAAAAGATGTTTATCATGTAATTTAAGCTTACAAAATGACATTCTTGTTTGATAAGATTTAAAAACTTCTTTAGAGATTTTGGAAGGTATTCTCATGCTATTCAATTATTTATGTTGACAAACATTCATTTTGAGCTTATTTTGAATTAATTGGTCATGATTGATGAATCGTTTGCAACTAATTAATTATAATGTTTTTAGGTATTTCATCGGTTGTTTTGGTAAAAATTTGCCAACTTACATGATATGCTGGTGATTATTATTATTATTATTATAATTTTTATCCTAAACTTGAAAGTATTGAATCGTGGTAACTTTAATCTGGCTAATACTAAACAACAAATAATTAGATACTAAGTATCCCCAATTAGAATTGGATAACTAAATGATTAACAGTGAGCTCTTTTAGCGGCAAGAAATAACATCGAAAATCCTTGCTGTCATTATCAAACCTTAAACACAGATTGTTTTATCTCAAACTCCGAACATATCATTTTAGAATAGTTTGTAGGTGTATATTTTTTATTTTTTTTATTTTTTATTTTATTTGTGTTTCTCTCATCAAAAAACACTTTAAAATAGTGAAAATAATTCTTGATATGGCCTTGTGTTAAGTTCAATAATTAGGGTTCGAACAATTCAATTGCAAATTTGACTTTGTAAGGCAAATTATTTTATATTTAAGTTTTTTGAAATTGAATTTTGTATTTTATGACATTTTATCATATGCTTTGCATGCAGAATAAAAAAGATACACATAAACTTAGAAAGAACATGTTGGTTCAAATAAGATGATTTAAGACGTTAGTGCGATTGATAATTATCGAACTCTTTGATTGAATAGAATTGGATTACAAGTGTAGGGACTCAAATGTAAATTAATAAATATTATGGACTACAATGCACATAACCCTTTCTACTTACTAGTCTACCAGTAGCTCGTCCGTCCACTTCGATTATTATCCCCAATTCTTTCAAATATTAGGGTTTCCGCTTTCCACCTGGCCCTTCAATTTCAGTCGAAATTTACGTAAGAAACGACAGATCAAGGTTAGTTAATGATCACCTCAACAACATGATTACAATATTATGTCACGCGTTTTTATTTGATAAAAACGTCTGTCACTGTGCCCACTCGTTCGTTCCCATTGATTTACTTGTGAGCTGAATCTAAACTTTTGTTCTCGTTTTTTGAGTTGAACTTTTCAATATATCAACCCGTTAAATGACAATAGATTTGGATTCTGATACCATTTAACGTCAACATTTCACTTAGCTTGCGTTATTTTTCTTTGTAAGAATTAATGCAGTCACTAAAGATTGCTTGCCATTTCTGAACTGGAAAATAGTCGATTAAACCTGAAATAAGAAATTTACCTCCTGATTTAAATGATGCGAGCATTTGGTTTACTGATCTAATTGCATTCTCTTTGAGGAAGAAAATTTCTGCAAAAAGTGTGTTGTATTAGAGATCTAGATCACCATCTTTCTCTTTTTAGCACTTACATCTCTTCCTTGAGTTACAATTTACAACAATCTGTTTTTGTGTCAGTATATCCAGTTCCATTTTGAGAACCAACTCCTTAGTTGATTTCTGATTTGATGATTACTCGCTGCTTGGATTCTCCTCTGCTATATTATAGTTTCCTGAACATTTTACATTTAACTACTTTTGGTGCCCAGTGTCCAATATGGAGCCGAGACAGATGCAGAAGTCCTGGTTTATCCAAGTGGTTCAGAAGCAGAGGCGAATCTTCGTACCATGATACACCTAAGTTTTGTCTGAACGGTTTGAATATTTCACCTTGTTCTCTCGTTCTTTCTAAAATTCAGTCATGGTGAAATCCAAGAAAGCATCTTCTCCCCATTCTGCAGTAACCTCAATGCCTTCTTCCCAAGAAGTTGCACTTCGTGTGGCTTCTTGCAATCTTCGGGCAGACCTTTGCCTGGAGACGTTTGACCCTACTCTCCATATAATGATTGAGTTTTTAAAGAGTCATCCTATTCATAAACCCTTAACTAAATCAGTCAAGTTTCCTTTAAGCATCATTCATATGGCATACTGCACTGCTGTTTATAACTCTAAGGAAGAGTACATTGAGTTCAACATCAGTAAAGATCACACTACGAAACTCTGTAAGGCTGAGTTCCTGAAAGCCATTGGCCTTCCAGAGAGCAAGGAAAAAAAGACGTTATATGAACCCACAAACGAAGAACTCTTTGATGTATTTGATCAAATGGGTTATTTACCTCCAAGGCTTGAAATGACCCCAAACTTCAAGAAAGGTAAGCTTCCAGCCATGTGGCAATTTCTGGTGCACATCATTTTGCGATGCCTTACAGGAAAGACTGGAGGAACTGACACACTAAGTAGGGTTTTACTTGTCTTTCTTTTTGGTCTTTACACTGGGAAAGAAGTGGACTTTGGAACCACTATCTGGAAGGATTTTGCTAGTTATGTGTTTCCAAAGAAGAAGGATATTCCCTGTGCAAGGTTTTGGGCACTTGCACTCCAAAGGGGTTACAAGAAGCTGAAGTTCCCATTACCTGAAGGAGACGAGATGTTCTCTCCTCGCGCCTTATCAAGGTATGCTATCCCAGATCAATCTGAATTTGGGAAGGTTGCTCGTCTTCCCGAAGCAATGCTTCAGTTTATTGAAAAGAATTCCAAAGTTCTCATCAGACATATAAAGGAAACGGGTCCTCCAGAACCTGAACGCCCTACCCAATCCTCACAACATACTCCCAGTCCTACAAAACAAAAGAAAAATGCCTTGAAAGTAAAGAAGACTACTGGTAAAAGAAAAGGCGAGGCCATTCCTGCCCCTCAAGCCAAAAGAAAACCCCCAAAATCCATCCCAACCTCTCAAAAGGTGAATGATGTTGAAAAAAGATCTACCGTTGGGTCACAATCTCCCATCTCTTCATCCTCTCAAGAAGATAACGTCTCACAAAAACATTGGGATATAACACATACACAACCCCTTTACTCTCACAATGACAATGGGGGTGTTGAAAAAAGTCAAGATCATCCCCCAGGGACACACTCACATATCAAAGATCAAGGACCCCGAGGAAGACCAGCACACCGATCCTTGCAAAATGGGGGCTTTGGAGCAGCTAATGGTGAGGCAGAGGTGAGAACATCAGAGAATGAGAGTGTAAGGCAAACACGAGAGCAGAGTGAAAGAAAAATGTTAAGTGAGGCTGAGTCAAAGAAAGAAAAGGAGCGAAAGGAATTAGTGAGAATGTTGTGGGAGGAGCAACAAAAGAGGGAGGAGGAAGAGTGGGCCCGGACTTCTGCCAAACTTCTTGAGCAGGCCATGTCTTTGGGGGCCTTTACAAATACTGGTGAGGAATATGCTGAAGACATGGAAGAGGAGTTAATGTTCACTATGGATGATGGACTCATCCAAGACTCTGAATCACCATCCATCACAGAGCCAGTCAAACCTTGTAACTCTAAAGTATTCTTGGGAACTTCGGACACAGAAAGTGAACATATTGAGGAAGTTCCCAATGGAGAGATCAACACTCTTCCTACTAAATGGAAGAAGAAGAAGTCCAAATCTATCTCCAGGGTGGGATATAATTCCCTCAACCAGAAGCTATCTGAGGTTCTAGAGGCTGTGAAGAATATCCCTCAATCTGAGGAGGAATTTGTCAGCAAGGAAGAGTTTGGGGAAATGCAAAAGATTGTGACATCTTTAGCTCAGAGTGTTCCTAATCTTGAGGCAAGGGAAGAGACTCTTTGGGAATCAATTGTAAACTCTACTGTGGATGCTTTGAGGGACATGGAGCAGAAGAGGAATGCTGACACTTTTAAATATTTAGATCAAATGGATGAGATGGAGAAAACAGTGAAGGAAATTCAACAGTCGTATGATGACCTCACCAACACCATGGGCCACCAACATGGAGATGAGATTGTCCGTATAAGTGAGCAGCTCTGTGACTATCGCAACAAAAATATAATTCTTCAGGCTGTTTTGGTTAAAGTAATGCAGTTTGCACAGCAACTGCCAAGACCCTGCAACGTAAGATTTGATGAAGTCCACTTTGCCATGCAGAAAGTTCAAAATTCTGTGGATATACTTCCAAAGACTCTATGCAATGATGAGCTAAGCAAACAGGTTCAACAATCGTTCTTAAAAGTGTTTGAGCTTATAGAGGACTTAAAAGGTTCAAGGGTCGAGGATGAAGCTGGATTTTCCTCAACAAAATGGGGAGAAGATAATAACGTGGTGATAACAGAAACTTCTGAGGAAACACATCCTCCTCCTCCTCCTCAGATAGATGAGGTATCCAAACCTCGACCACCTTCAAAGATCACAATTCCTGAAACGAGTCTTTTGAAGACCTTTCCAGTGTCTGAGGAAGAGAAGAAGCAAACGGAGTTGGAACATGAACTCCTTGCCAAGCAGATACCTGAGGATCAGCAACATGCTTTATCCCCTTTGGTCTATGTTATCAGACAATTGAGGGATAATGAGCTTGTGCCCAAACAAACTACGGCTCCTCACTCCTCCGATGAATATCAGTGGGATATACCCATGTCTCCATATGCACGCTATTATTCAGTTTTCCCACCACTACATCCACACCTCTCAAGGGAAATGCAAATCCCAATTGAGCTGAACCGACTAGAGGAGTTTTTCAAGGCTCATGCTCAGCCCCCAAAAGATGTATGGTCTCTCCGGAGGATCATAAGAGTTGTGGGATGTAAGAAGAAGTCTTTTCAGAAGGAAGACTACTTCAGTTTCGAAGTGATGCGAAGCGATAACAAAAAATATTTCTTCTCTGAAGCCGATTTTCCTAACCTCAATCCTAACGACTTATACGTGATTGCCAAACACTTCCAGACCAAACTCCTCACTCATCAACCTTCCCGATTTCCCTTTCTCCAAATCCAGAGATTTCTAAGGTCTCTGACCTATGATCTTGGCAGCATTGATGCAGAACGGTTTGATAGCTTTGTGGATAATCCACCCGAAGAGATGAACCAATATCTTGAAGGAATTGAAAACAGACATCGAGGACCTACCGAGGATCCTGAACTGGGGATAATCTTCTCTAATGAAAAGGATAGTCCGAGGCTCTTTTTTAGATTAAAACAGAAGCATCGATGCACAACAGAGTTCCTTGAAAAGATGATAAATCTTACCTTAAGGTCCAATGCCTCTGCAGCTTTAAAGGTGAAGATCATTGAAGAACTAGAGTGGTGGGTAGCAGTTCGTAAGTGGATCAAGAGAGCAACAGACCTCGTGAAAAACAAGATCTGAACATGAATGTCTTTTTTGCATTGAAAACTCTCGGTAAGTAATTTAATTATATATATTATTAATTATATAGGTTATGAGATCAAATCAGTTTCTGACATTGTTGTGTGTAGGCTTGCTGAGATCGGAAGATATTGAACATGATATCGTGAGTTGGAAGTGTACAACAGATTCATGTTGATGAAGTTTGAAGAAGAGTGGTGAAATATGAAAGCTTCCCAAAAAACCACAACATTATGTTCTTCTCACAAATTACTGTGAGTATCAAAAATTCCCAAGAAATCACAACCCTTAGATATAATTATATTCATAGCCCTTTAAATTAAGTATTTTCAAAGTTATCGTTAAGTGTACTGTTTTTCTTGGAAGTTCATATCTGTACTTTTCAAAGCTGATTGTGAAGTCATATAAAAGTTGATGCTACATGTTTATTTGGGTTGTGAATTGTGATATACTGATATTGATAGGTATGGATGTAATTGATAAGGAAAAACTGCAAAGGATCATCATGTTTTGAAAATGAGGAAAGTCGCAGGTTGCAATCAAGAAGATGAAGAGAAATGTATTATGTATGAAATTGCACGAAGTTAAGGTATTTTATGTTTCTTTTTCATTAATATTTAATTCTGCTGTTTTCTCAAATTAATATAAAACAAAACATAATTAAAAGCTAATTCCCTGTTTTCCTCATAGTCCCTGTGGAAATTTGAATCATCTCAACATCATAAAGCTCAAGGAGATTCTCAGGGAATTCTTCATATTTGAATCCATGGTATTCTTTATATATTTATAATTAAAACTATGATGATTAAAAAATATTTTATCTTGAATCTTGTATTAAGATCCAGCATTCTTGTTTTTATAGTAGTCACGTATCAAGCTACGTCGTAATTTTTTTTTTTTTTTTTTTTTCTATATTTAATTTTTGTGTTTCTCTCGATAAAAACCCAATCAATGTGCTTCCCCAACCATATTATCACATGTAGATATTTTTATAGTATTTTTTTTGACTGCATGGAAGAAATATTGATCGAATTGAAGGAAATACAAACCTTACTTTAAAAAACAAAATCACACCAGTTCTCTCTTCTATCCATATAAAAAAACATCAAAACTCTCAATTTTACAACAAAGGGATCCCTCATGAAAAACACCATCATGCCCTAACGCACTAGTTTATGATATTTTCTAAACCGAATCACAACAATATTACCCACGTATCCAATCGCCTCCACATTAATATGTTTTAACCCCATGGGGTACACAATTTACTTGCCAACATAAAATAATTTCCAAATCCCCTGGGAATCCCAATCCCTATAAAATGACCTTTCACCCTATCCCATCCTCAAGTGTCAACCATATCGTCACCTCTACTTCAAACACAATATAGTGAAGATGTGATGGTACATTGGTACTTGAAACACTAATGGAACAACCGGATGGTAGGGGAAAATAGAAATTAAGATAAAAAATCGAAAGCGAACCGGAATGGTCAGCTCATCCTAGAAAGTGATCTCCAAAAGAGGAGGCGTTGGCAACCGCCAACATTGACTCTAATGAGGATTAAAAAGAGGGGAAAGCCAAAAGCAGATAAATTTATCGGAACACCCTTGAAAAAAAATTCTATGAAGTCATGGAAACCGAACATATTGATTGGAACATCAAATGAGTACAAAGTGGAAAATTTTGAACTAAACATGTCAGTTTTATAGCATCCACAACCATTTATCGTTGAGTTGAAAAAGAGCGGATAAAATAACAACGTGATCATCAAGGCTCAAGAGGAAAAGCAATATGTTGTCTTTTTTGCAAATAGAACCATGCGATATCATATTTTCATTTATAAATTAATTTTAATTATTTTAACATATATAAGTTCAATAAGAAAAATGAAAAGTGTGGACATGTGATAATGTAAGCTTTGAAAATTGGTGCGTGCTAAGGAGAGGTTGAGATATGAGGATGGAATGCATGTATATCTATAGCATAATTACCTAATACTACATAAAGCGACATGACATCACTTAGATAATTGTTGAGGCGTACTTGGTGTGTAAGTAGATTTTTTTATATTGTTTTTTTTTATTTGATTGTTATTTTTATATGTGCAATGTTTTTTATTACTGAAATAATGGAATATTTCTTTTTTATTATATTAAATATTATATAGATATTAAATTATAACTTAATATTATATTTACAATTAGATTAAAAATATGTTCCATAAAAAACAGTACTTTTACTCTATTGGACAAATTTTCTTTTCCTTTTTTTTCCTGCTCGGATGCTTCTCGGTTCTTCTCCACCGCTTTATCTCCCCTTCGACTTATCCATAACACTATTTTTTTCATCTGCCCACTGCAACATCATTACCCTCTAGTATTTCGATCCTCTGATCCTCCTAATTCTTCACTTCTGGAAATGAATTTATCTCCAAAAAAGCAGCGATCAATCCGGCAACGACCCTCACTGTTCTTTCTCCAAACTTTTTCTTTTACTTTGTTTTAACTTTGATTTCGTCGGTGTTGCCCCCACTGATTGACGAAGTCGATGCTCACCAAACGTCTATTTGGGTTGTGTTCAATCAATTGGAAGGAAAATGGCCAACGCTTGACTTCTCGCCGCCGATTATGGTTGTGCATCCTCCTACATCAACCAGATATGGTTTTAAGTAAGAAGCCCTCTCTATCTCCCACATCTTACTCCTCCCACTGCCTCTATGATAATTTTCACCGTGTGCGCCGAGTCAGATGCCAGAGAAGAGAAAGAAGTTGAACGATACATGTGGGACAGAGTCATTCCGATGCCAGTACGACTCCGCTGTAACTACTCTAGCACCGACGCTGACATATCTGGTATCTTTTACACACCCTTCATCTATTTTTTAAGTAACCGTGTGACCTTATTTATATGTTTGCCTCCATTTATTGAGGTGCAAAGCCGATAGCCTCGATCTTACTTGCTTCCATGAAAACCAACCAACTCCATTAGACCTTGTTTGTGTTCGTGGCTAGGCAAGAGAATACCATCGCTCTACCCTCTTCGATCGCAACCAAATCACATTTCCAAAACTTATTTGTAATTATCTACAAGTGGAATTCGATCCTATTTAATGTCTACAAGATGATGACACTGATTCCACCACCAATACTCCTCCGGTACAAATTTCCTTTTTCTTTTAGTAAGTTTTAACATAATTCAATGTTTTCATAGGATTTTGATTTAGAGAAATTTCTTCTACAACATCACTACCACGTTACCAGCATTCCATGGTATCACCACGACCGTCCGACGTCGTCAAAAACGTTGTAATTACCATCTTTATGTAATTTTCTAAGCTCTATGTGTCATAATATATTTTTTTTTAAAATAGACCGGCGTTCGGAAGTTCAATTACTTTATGACTAAAATGGAAATGTAGCAACTTCACATAGTCGTCATTGTAGTGTTCAAACGCGACGTGAAAAGGTAGTATGATAAATTGATAATGAAACTCTATCTTTTATTTGAATTTTAATATATTTGTTTTGAATATTATTGTGGAATGACCAATAATTATAACTCCAAATGATAGAATAAAGAAGTTGGAGCAAGGTGCAAGAAGATTAGCTAAACCAATGAATTATGTTGAAGCTGCAATTGTAGAGTATTTGTATAGTATGAAAATTGGGGATTATTACTTTTTGGAGCTCAATCCATGTTTACAAGTGAAAATATTTAATTCTTAAATAGTGAATAAATGTTTACATCAAGGAGTTATCAAAGATTTAATGATACACATATACCCTTTTAGGGAATTTCTACATTTTTTTAGGTTGACCATCCTGTTACCGAGTGGATAGCAGAAATTAATCTACATGCTACACACGTTGCAGTTGGTTGAATTCAATACAGTTATATTTGGTTGTTTTTGTGAGTACGTGAAAGACCCCAACTTTCGTATTTATGAAAGACCCAAACTTTCATACTATTTCAAAAGATTTCTTAAGTTACTTCATCAAAACATACTACATGCATATTTATAAAACAATATTTTATATATTGATAAAGTGATTACAAAGGATTGGATACAAACCGACTAAGTTTTATTATATTTCATGTCTACCCAGGAATCTACTATTCATATACATACATGAACATTAAAAATACAGAGAAATATTATTAACTATTCTAAATCTTTCAGCAGTATAAAGCTATATTGGAATACTCATCACTTGCAATTGTTAAATATTGAGAGGAATAAGCGATAACGCTTAGTGAATTCAATAAATAGATACAATATAATCTTATGCCTTACATATACCAATATGACAGAAGCAGAAGGGAACAAGAAGACATATGTGAAATCATGTGATAAGCGTTCATATCAATCAAAGACTTTATTCAAATATATACTTTTCAATGAGACATAACGATTTCAGTACTTGATATGCATCAATAAAGCTTTGACCCAAATGGCACAGAAGACATATAATTTCTGATTATCAATTTGATAGATTTCAGGTTTTCACACACCGTTTAGCATTTCAGTAGATTTCAGGTTTTCACGCCCTGTTTAATCATTTCGGTAGATTTCAGGTTTTCACGCATTGTTTAACCATTTGCTAATACCATAGAATAGAGTTCAATTCCCTTACAGAGTCATGCTCTACATGGTCGGAGGCTACATACCATTTCTATCTAACTTTCTGCCAATGCCATAGAATAAAAGTCATTCTCTTACGGAGACATGTTCTACATAGCCAGAGGATACGTACCAGTACCAATGTGAATCTAAATCCTTTCACTGATCACATGGTCAAAGGTATTATATTTGCTATAAACATAGAGAATAAAATAACACGGGAGAATAACTCAGAATAATAACACTGAGAAGCACATAGCACATATAACACATAACATACAATTGTTCCTATATATTGAACTCACCTTAAGTTAACCGGGGTTAAAATAGTAATTTGGATAACATTTCGGCTTTAAATATGACTTTCTATGTTGAAAATCGGGAGCTTAATTGAAAACCAGGCTCTGCGAAGGTAGGGCTTCAAAACCGAAAAGATAAAATTTTCGGGCTTCTCGGGGCACTTCGGGATGTATTCCGGGTTTTAAAAATAATATCGGGGCTTTGGGGAAAGTCAAAATAATAAAAATATGGTAAGAGGGGTGAAAAATGGCAAAAATCCATTTTTTCTCGGCAAGTCTCGCAACCCATGTATTTATAGGGTGAGATGCGAGGCCGGATCAGAAGGGCGTGTCAGCAGCAACAACTAGGTGGCAGCGAGGGAGGAAGACACGCGGCGGTAGCAGGAGCGAAGGCGCCAGGTGGCTCGGACGTGAGATGACACGCGTCGGATGCGAGGGCTCGCCACTGAGGCCACACGCGTCACCTGACGATTGGACCGAAGCTCGGACCCGGGAAGAATGCAACACGCATCGGATGTTGCGCGGATGACTCATCAACGTCGGACAGGGGGCGCTTCGCTAGAGCAGGTGACGTGGCCGAACACCAACCATGCGAAATTCTCGGAAATTGAACCCAAAACTTCTAAAATCCGTAACTTTCGCATACGAGCTCCGTTTTTGACGTTCTTTATATGCACGTGTAGCTAAAATTACGCTCTACAACTTTCGTTTAGACTTTGTTGGCTAATTTTGACTTTAATTTTAATATTATTATTCTTAACAGACCGGGACAGGAAAATCCATTTAAAATTCATAACTTCTTCATTCGAC